TTGAGCTACCCAGAAACTAGCCTCAGTTGCGTCTTTTGGTACGAAGAGTTCGCTCTGAGAGTGCTGACCACGAGATCCCGGGCTGCCATGCCCTCGAGACGGCCCACACATTGACCCATCCCGGCTTCGACCAACCAAGTGTTGGGTCTACCGTCGTCCCTGCTAAACATCGGGAGGTCGCAAGGTCATAGACCTGCGCGATCGATGGCAAGGTAATTTCGGGATCAGCCTTGCAGAATCTCTTTTGCCAAATTCAGCTGCACTGTCATGCCGTTGGCCCAGATGTGCCACAGCAGAGTTATAATGACCCGTAGTCTCTTCCGCCGTTCTCAACGGTTGGGCGACCTCATCACCATCTCATCTCACAGGGCCTTTCCTGATCCTCTGCTTTTTGCACACTGACCAGCCGTAGCAATGGAGCCCATCATGGCAAGGTCGACTTACACGACGATCGCCAGGCCCCCGTATCCTCTGCAGCTCTCCCCGAGATGCGTGAGATCACCCATGGCCTTCAGTCAAGCCGAAATCCTATCTCCACGGGCTATGGCCAAACAGGAGAAGGACCTTTGTCTCCCGGCACAGGAATCAATATACATACACAGGCCCGATCAGGACTTCTGGGCCGTCCGTTGCGCTGAGAGCCTCGATGGTCTGATGCAGGCTGCTGGCTCGTACACGCCAGCCCAGCGGGCCGCACACCTCCAATTTCTCTCCGAGATCATCGTCCCCGCCATGGGACCACACCCGTCCGCTGCCCCGGCGAAACCCTTGTTGACCGCTGACGGCTCCCCGTTTGAGCCCTCCTGGAACATCACCGACTCGGGCTCCTCCTTCATCCGCTTCACCTTCGAGCCCATGGGCCGCCATGGCGGCTCTGCATCGGACCCCTTTGCGCAAAAAATCCTCCCCGCCATCCTCCCCGCTCTGCGTATGGTCTCCCACGGGGCCGACACCCGGTGGTTCGAGCAGCTCATGTCTGCCCTGTTCCTGACGGAATCGGAGACAAGAGCAGCCCTCGCTAGGCTTCCTGAGGGCACCCGCGCGCCAACGTCGTTTCTAGCGTTCGACCTCGACGGGGACAAGACGGTCTTCAGGGCCTACTTTTCCCCCATCCTCAAGCATGTAGCCACGGGCGACTCGACAGAGAGCCTCACTTTCAACGCCATCCGCTCCCTGTCCCCAGGCGGCCCCGACCTCGCCCCCTCCGCCAACGCCACGGAGGAGTACTTCAAGAACGCATCCTTCCCTATTCCCGTCGAGATGATTGCCCTGGACTGTATAGACCCGGCCGCGGGCGCTCGCGCCAAGCTCTATGCGCGTACGCGGTCAAACGCCTTCAGCGTCGTGCGCGATGTCGTGACGCTCGGCGGCCAGATCAGCGACGAGACAACGCTGGAGGGCCTCCGCGGCCTCCGCAGCATCTGGCACCTGCTGCACAACGAGCCGGAGCCCTACAGAGACGACTTTGACAAGCAGCCCAAGATGGAGAACACGATCCACAAGGGCGTCTGTTACGGCTTCGAGCTCAAGCCTGGCGCCGAGTGGCCCGAGGTCACGGTCTACGTGCCGCTGTGGCAGTACGCCGACAGCGACGCCGTCATCGCATCGAATCTGGCCGATGTGTTCCGCTTGAGAGGCTGGCCCGTTGCCGAGAAGTATGAGGAAACGATATGCCGTAGCTTGTAAGTCTTTATTGCCCCACCCCCCGCTTCAGACGAGGACGTCGAAACTGACCATAAACGCCGCCAGCCCCCGCTCCAAACTGGAAAAGACCACGGGGACGCACTCGTACATCTCGTTCGCATTCAGCGAGAAGAATGGCGCCTACATGACGATGTACTACTCCATTAGGCCCCAGGACTCGCTGGTGGCCGTCTGAGGAGAAGCTTGGGGGGGGGGGGGGGGGGTATTAAAATGCAGCCGTGAGCGTCGACGTATTCCATCGTGTGCGAGCAAATGGTATTTCCGTTTCTGTGTATAATACCGGTACGGCTGTCCTCCGCTCAAAGCCAAGATATCGTACAGCACCGCGACCTTTCCAGAATAAGGATGTGTCTTTCCGGGATTGGATGAGCCGGGCTAGTGTAATTCAAAAAAGATCGAATGGTGGTACAGGGCAAGTGAGACAGCTTTTAGCTCTTGAATAAAAAAAACATTTATTGATTGGGAAACACCCAAGTAAACCTCCCACAGCACACAGGGCTGCTACTGCATCGAGACTTGTCAGCCAACATCAGAGCGGAGACGAAACGGCCCTGCTTTATCCTCTCCTCTCCCGCCTCTCTCCTCCGTGCGAATGTTTGATTTCATGCCGTTATAATCAGCCAAAATGTACGAAGGTGAGCGGGGATCGAAAGGGTACGCGAGAGTGGTTCCCTCCTCTTTCCCGTCCCCACCGACCTTGATCGATGTCTGTGCCCCGCCGTCCTTAGGTCCAATAGGTTCCGGCACTGCCGGATTGAGATGTGGAGGGGTCGATGGGCTGAGGATCGGCAAGTCCGGAAGAGGGGAGCATAAGGAAACAGATGGTCTGAGGGTATGCCCAACCCGGCGTGGGCGGATATAGGCAACAGTCACATCGCAGCAATTCACAAAAGCGTCATCCGACGTCCATGCGGGAAGGCAGATTCTCAGTTCAAGGAGTGTGGGTATTTAGAGCCTATCGGTGTAGTTTTTTTTCTAGTTTTTTTCTTCTTCTTCGAATCCCAGACGCAACGGTGCTTGTGCATGTTTTGGTTGTCGAGCCGTCTCGATAACCAAGTTGTTATTTGGGTAGAGGTAAGAGTGTCGTGTCTGGCATTGTCCAGCACACATTCCGCCCCGGCTCCCAACGTAGCATCCTTGACGTCTCGATGTGAACGTAATGAGCAATAAAGACAAGTAAATCCACCCTGACTTGCCTACCCGTTCCGTGAATAAATATAAAACGCCGTTTCTTATGAGTTGTGTACTTTCCTCTCCTGTCCAATCTTGGAGTGTTTTGGAGTTTGGTATTTTTGAAGTTTGGTATTTTGGGTTTCTAGGGACTATTCAGTGCCCAGAGAACGCAAAGCAAAGCAGGAAACAGTCAAAGGAAAAGTGGTATCATCAGTTTGATCTCGCAGTTGAGTTGTCGGTTTTTTGTTGGTGGTGTTGTTGTTGTAGCATTTCCAGATCGAATTTGCTTCTTCTTAGACCTGAGCGGTCTCGACCTTGGAAGCGTCCTCCTCGTCGTTATCCTTGTAAGGGGGGAGGTCTTCAGCCTCGGCCATGAGCCCTGACTTTTCCTCGACGGCAGCGGCCTCGCGGTGGACAGACTTGCGCGCGCGGCGGCGGCAGTGACGACGGGCGAAGGGGGGCTGGCGGCGGACGAAGACACGCCAGAGGCAGACGACAAAGGTGCCAACCATCATGCCGATGCTGACAGGCCATGTTAGTGGAGCTCGGTACAGGAAAAGGAACGGGGTCACGAGACCGGGGGAAAACCAGGGGAACAAAAAGGGGGAAATGAAACACTTACATGCTAACACTAACGCCAGCAACAATACCGATGAGCACGGGGAACAGGATATGCGAGGCGACGTTCTTGGCCAGTTGAGCCCAGGTGTGGTGGTGGTGTCTGACCTGGCCGTTGTGGTGGCCGTGACGGTGCTGTCCGTGCATAGCTCCGTGGTTCTTGCGGCCACCGCAGTGCTTCATGCGATGCATCTTGTTCAGGATGGCGGCGCGCCACTTGCAGTAGAAGGTAGTGCAGTCCTCGGCGGGGGCCTCGACGTGCTCCTCCACCTCCTCCTGCTCCTCCTCCTGGCGAGACGGGACAGAGGTCTCGGTCTGCTCAATGTTGGCGATCATAAGGTTGCCGGTGGGGGACTTGATCAACTTGACGCTGACATTGGGAATATCGCTGACGAAGCTGTTTCCAACCTCGATGATCTGGAGTTCAATCTCGACGAGCTCGAGCTGCTGCTCAGTGTCCTTGGCAACGTGGCGGACACCTAGGCTGTAGCCCAGCTGAGGAGTGTTTGGGCTAGCCTTACGAGGGTGCTTGGTGGCGGCCTCGGTGAAGTCGGGGATCTGGGGAGCACGGAGAGCCTTGTACCACGAGGCGGGCTTGGGGTATAGCTCAAAGTCGTTGACAAGGAGGTGGTCGACGCCCAAGGTGTCGGTGTCGATGGAGAAGGTCAGCTCGAGGTGGTTGTTGATGTTGGCCATTGTGTGGTAGCGGCCGTCATAGTGACGCATCGCCAAGGGGCAACCGGGGCAGTCGACCTTGACGCGGTGGCTCGCGAGGCCCATCTCGGTAGATGGCTGCTCGAGCTCGAAAGGGAGCGTGTTGACAATTTCGCTGTCGGCTTGAGAGATTTCGGGAACGACGACGAAGGCTTGCGTGGCCTTAATCGCCAAGCTGGCGGCGGCGAGTGATTTCAGCAGCATCTTGCCGGTGGTCCGATGTTCGCTGACGGAAATGGTTCGATAGGTAGTAACTCGACTGTGATGTCTTTTCTGAGTTGAGGTTGATCAATGGGAAGGGGGTAGAGAAAGTGATGTCGAAAGATGGTCGTGTGGAAGGAAGGAAGGTTGAGTTTCGATCGATGTCTGAGAGGGAGAACAAGAGGAGTGCTGTGTCCCATGGGTGGAGCAGAACGGGGGGCGATCCAGGGTACGTAAGGCACTGCTAGCGCATCCCTGGACAGGGCAGTTACGCAAGTCGAGCAGCGCCTGACGGACCTTGACCCAGTAAAAAGATGGGGATCGGGTGCTGCAAGTGGTGTTAGCCTGTTGGAGGCAACGGGACTTGGGCCACTTGGGACACGCTAGGAACCGCCGGGATATTCGGGACAGTCGGGATGGAGGGCGGACAGGCTGCTAGTGTGTCCGCATCAGCACGCTTTGGGGAGGGGAGGGGGCGATTGAACACTGCGCTGAGGGATGTGTTTTCGCCTCAGGCATAAACGGGATGATTTGCTGCACATCTTCTAGCCCGATTATGTCATTCGACCCATTTGGAACTGACCTTCTCCCGCATTCCTCAGTTTGGGTTCAGTCCCCCTTCCTTCCCTTCCTTCCCCCTTCATTTGTTGTCTTGTCGCCCACCCAACTTACTCATCATGACTCTCAAGAATGCCCTTCTCGACGTATTCCCTTGCCCTTCCACCAGTCCGGGCCACTTTAATGCATGAACGGACTATATATGGACAGCAATCGATCCACCAACCCCCCCAAATGCACTATTACCTAGCTAGACGCAACTCCCTTTCTTACCTTACCCACTTTGGATTGTCCTCAAATGCTCCTGCACCATACTGGCGTAGCACAACGTGGCGGGAGCTTGTAAACGCGCAAAGAAAGACATAACATTGTGGTCCCGTCCGCCAAATCGGCACTTTCGGCTCTTCTGCTATATTCCTTTCGCTTCCTCGATGCAGCTGGGTGTTCTTGCCCTTCCGGAACCACCTACCTGCCTACCTTGGCTCAAAGAAATGTCAGGGCACCCCAATCCCCAGCCGCCTGACGCTTCCTCCCTTCATATCCTTGCACAACCTTGTGCTCACCCCCCCCCCCCCCCCCCCCCTCCTTTCCAGTAGGCCCAGCCAAAGCACTTTTTTCCCTCTCTCTTTTATTAAGCTTCGAGGTCATGACGTCTATGGCTTGGGCCCGAGTCACCATGCCACGCACTCACATCATGTTCGACACCAGAGAGGCGATAGCAAACTCTAAAAAAGCAAACATGGCCAATCGTTCGATATGCATGAAGGGCAGCCGGGTCATTGAGTTGTCATATGGGCCTCTGCTTCCATCTCCCGCCGAGCCACGACCCAGGCAAGGGTACCGGTATTACCGTTTCTTCTGAAACCCCGTTGCCGTGTCATGGTGATACAAAGGTCACCAAAGCCCACTGAAGCCCGCCCTTCCTCCCTGCCCAGGGCTCGGCGCCAGGCTATGTAGTCCCAGGCAGGTGGGTGGCCTTTTGTGTTGGGGGTGCAAGTCCCTTGTGCTGGAATGACTGGGCTTTGGCAATCCATCTCTCCCACAATCAGTCTAAAGGAACGTCTATCTGTAGCCTCTCCTCCGCCGGCCGATGGGACATCCGTACATACCACTGTCGTTCAGACCGGCTTCCGGGCCCCACAAACGCGTAGTCGAGGCCGACGAAGCCACTCGGCCCAAACGTCGTCCTTCCGGAGGAGTGTCGGAGCTGCATCGCAAATCCACAAGTGAGAAACTGCCAACATTCTGACGACGCGGTCTAGCCGTAATGCGCAGGCAGTGACTAGACAACAGGGCCTTCTTTCAAAGAGCAACCCCGCTCTCCTGTAACCACTGCCAAGGTGCCTCCGGGCCAGTCCAAATAGCATGACTTTGGATTCGAATTATCGTCTGGGCACCAGCGCCCGAGGCGGCGCGGTCGGCCGGTCTCGGAAGCAACGCATTGCACGATCCTGTGTGTGCACGACCCAGTCATCAGTGTCGACGATTATTAGCTTCGTGGAAGCAGTCTCCAGTTCAACCCTTCCCGCTTCTGCCGGGCGCGCTCTTCCGGGCCCGGCCTCTCGACGCGACGCTGGCATGATGCGATGTCGTCACGTTTTGCAGCGCACAGGTGTCAGCTTTGACGCCCTCTGCACCGAACGCCCTTCCGAGGCATGCGGGCCTCTGTCGAGTCCTTTTCGGGGGGGCTCGTGACAATTTGGATATCGGCCGTGATGGCCCTGATGAGGTCATCTCAATCAGACATGATGTTCCGCCTCCTCAAGGCGATCCGAGCCGAGGCTCCCAGTAGAGATCTCAGCCTCGCGAGCCAGGACCGTCTAGCCTGGCCCATGGGGTTTACGGATGCGACCCTCTTCCTCCCTCGAGAAATGGGAGGCCTCTTGTTCCGAGGCCGTCTTGCACCCAGGAAGAGTGTTATGCAAATCTGTAAGCTTGATGATGACGGGGGAGCAGATGGGCTCGACGAAGCAGACCAACCTTGACTGATTGCAAATGCGGAGGCGCACGAATGTGAGAAACGGGGTATCCCCCTCCTCGGACGCGTTCTGTGGATAAACTGCCCAGACCGTGCCGGTGGAATGCCCGACTCGCTCACAACTTGACACCGTGTCAACGGCGATTGAAGCATGGAACCGGGACTCTCTCGCAGGTCTCTCTTCCAACTTGCAACTTTGCTCAAGCCGATCAAGCGTACTCCCAGACAGGCTTCCGATAGTCTGTAACAAAGAAACACGCTGGCTTGGGCGGAGTGGGCCGGAGAATGAACACGTGCGGGCGGAAAGTTGTCGTCTAAAGAATCTTGCGGGGGACGGGAGATGTCACCGCACCGGGACGAAACAGAGAGGCACGGCCGCAATGGCTGGTCATCCATCCAAGGCGTTTACCTGCTGTCAAGGTGCGCCCCTCACCCCCTTCCCTATCCGGCAAAAAGGGCAAACATTCAAAACCGTGATCGCCTTCTTGGACACAGGCCCGGGGTAAGGCTCTCTAATAGTTACTTTAATATTAAAAATGTATTTTGATTATAGTTATTATCATATAAAGTTCTCTGCCTATTAAGGTCTAATATATATTAGTGTGCAATGCGTCAAGTCGTCGCCCGAACTAGACGAACACAGTGGCATGCCCATACACCCGGCTCTGCCCCTTTACTACAGATGCTTTATTATCAGTCATGTTATAGCAAATTCTCTTAAGACCCCACACCACGAAAGAGGCTGCCCGGCATGCAGTGTACTGAGTGGGTTAAGTAAATCCTCCGCGTGACGTTACGACGGAAGGTTATCCCGCGCGACAAGAAGACTGGGCCTCCCGCATTGCTAGCTGCCTCGGGCATACTCAGCGTTCCACTCGGTTGCTTGGGTTTCCTGCGCACCATCTTCCAAATGATGGCTTTATGCGACCAATCCACTCCTCGTCGGAATATTCGCTTAGGTTGACGCTACTCCGGGAACCGCTGTGTGGAGGGCCACGCTCGCAAGACATGGGAAAAACAAAGTGACTTATCGTCTCCCCCCCTCCCCCTCACAACAGGTCGACAATACAAGAGCGTGGAAACGGCAAGTGAACTGGCTCTGCTATATGCGTCTTTCGTACCACAAGGGATAGGAAGAGCCTGTCACGGCGGCCCCGCGCACGCCACTCGTGGGCATCTGTGTGGGACGATCGTTATTGAGATTCATCTACCACGTCGCGGATAGATGGTGCGCTGTCCACCGTGATGTCGAGATTCAATATTTGCCAAAGACGCCTCCAACCCGGAGACTAATCGGCACTGTGGGGCCGGACGGTTTGATGTTAATAACCGACCGGCTACGGAAGCTAGTGTGCGCTTTCATTTGTGAGACAGGCCCACGAGCTAAGCAGTCGAGGATATGTCGATATCAACCCCCCACTATTGCAGCGCCGCGCATGGGGCTTGTCGAGACACTTGGTATGATCCGCTTTTTGACCGCTTCCTTGGAAGCGAACGACCTATTAGTGGCGAACAGACATGACCGGAAATGAGGATGTCAATAGAGAACGCGTCGTTTGGCCTACAGGCCGCAGATTGCTCCCACCGAAGAAGGTTCGACAGGCCCATCGGCGTACTGTTGTTTCGTTTCGTCCCAATGTTCCACGTGTGGAGGAGGAAGCACGGCAGTGCAAAACGACTAGAAATCTGAGCAGTGGATGAGTTCTTCGAGTTTGTGGGAATATGGCTTTCCAGAAAGAAAACAAACCTCTTCAGACGACTGCCTCGCGGCGTCGAGCCGCGCGGGAAAGGATTGCCAAGACAAAAGCCGTGTCTGAAGTTTCTTAAACGCAAATAGTCCTGTGCCTGATTGTCGCATCACAGTTCGTGCCGGTCGGAGCTCATGCCGGAGATGGGATGAGTAGCAGCGCTCTGTTGGTTGCCGACATTGGTACACAGTAGACCCATCAGTCATCAGTCGTCCGGTGGCCTGGAGTGCCTGGCACGTATGGTCGGATCTACTACCGGTAGTAGTGTGCAAGCGCCACCATGCACAACAGACGATGACCATGTCGATCATCGGTGTACCCTGATGGGATTGGAGAAGGTGGCTCCATGTAGCAGGGTTATCTCCTGCAGGGCGTACTGGCCAAAGCAGCCAATTGCGACCCGGGCGACGGACGAAATGGCTTGCCGAGGGCTTAATCACAAGCCCTGTTCCATGTCTGCAGCGTGCATGTGACAGCTGAAACGCCTCCCGAACTCGAACTGTGGTCTGTATGGATTGGTGAATATCCGTATAGTCGCTCTAAACCCCCATAAGCAGTCTAGCGCAGTTCACCCGATACATATGCAATATCAGGGTACATAAAGCCCGATACGGGGCACCTCTGACCTGTGCCAGATCTCAACCTCTTAATACGGTATAGAATACCCAATAACGCAGATCAACTGCTGAATCAGACTTCACTTCAACCATGGCTGCAAACGCGAACGACCTTTGGGCGCTGGGACGTCGGCGGCAACAGAGTCGCTGCTGGGCCACGCGGTCTGTATGAATAGCGTAAAAAGATGCACCTGGGGAAGTTGGGAACCGAGTTGGTAGGCGGCGCCGCGTCGCTAGCCAAGCCGCTGGACATACCTTGTTTGGTTGCTGCACCATGAGAAGGCTTCGTGATTTCCGAGACATCCAAGAGAAGGAGGGCGACGAAAGGCGCAGAAGACGTGTCCTGGAGTTCTGTGCATGCTCCACCAGAGCTGCAGGCCAAGGTACTTGGTAGGTAAATAGGGGTTGAATAGCCATGCTTTTCGGCACGTTTTCCTTTCCTTTCCTACGCGGCAGAAATCAGCTCAAGGAACGTGTCACTTCAACTCGTCCCGTCTTCTTGGAGAATGGGCGGCGGTTATGGTTGCGGTGGTGGTGATAGTGGTGCAGATGTTGCGGGCATTGGCCGATGGGGTGAACGGAAGCGGAGCTCTGGCTTCCGCGTAGGCTGACCCTTTCACATGATGCGAGCGACGGATTTTCCATGAGAAACAGATTGTGCCAAGAGATGGCAAACTCGATATCATAGCATGGTCAGCGATTTCTTTGTGTTTGAAGTAACGGTGTGATTTGTCTGGTCCTGGCCCCAGGATAGCTTGTGTTTCCTTTTTCAAGTCGCACGACAGCGGCACCTCTGGCAGAGGTGTACTTTGTAGAGAAAGAGCGAAGAAAGCTGGGGCTTGCCGCAGGTTGCGGCAAGAGGATGTTCCGACACTGGGGGGGGGGCACCGGTATTGTGGAGTGCCGGCGGTGTCCCCGGGCCGTCGAGTACCTAGCTTGCCCCCCCCTCCCATGTTCACATGTCCTAATACTCCTTCCTGCTAGTTAGTCTCCAGCCGTGGGGATCTGTCTACCGTCATCACCACTGAAAGGTGAAAAACACAAAAGACTCAATCAAGACCCAGTAAGTACTTCGTATGTAAGGTACGGTTTACTTGGTAATGGTCCCCCCCAGATCGGGCCATCTGGGCCGCGATGACAGGGGCTGGAAGGTCCTGCGGCGCGTGCTTGCGCTAGTGTTTCCGCTTGGGCGTGCCCCGCTCGTCATTGCCCCATCAAACTCCAGAATGAGGGCCGCCAGGATCAAGCAGGCATGGCTCTATTCTCACTTTCCTTACCTTACCTTACTATTCTAAGGTTAGGTGGGTGGTAGCTGAGGGGGGCAGGTTGACGGAGACCGAACTGAGCTGTGCATGTCGCACTGCACCGACCCACTCGCTTCACCACCATCCCCCTGCCCCCTTTTCTTACCAGGAACACTCGTGATGGCAGCAGCAGCCACAGTCCCGAATTTGGCTTGTGCTTCCATCCAACGGTAAACTACGGTACCTACTACTATATTAATGTACACACTACGGAGTACTGTCTGCGCTAAGAATTGTACGGATACAAGCAGCCAGTAGCAAAACTCGGCGGACGTCTCGTCAACCAGTGTAGTCCGACTGGACTGTTGAACGACAGCCCCAATCAACGCCTCTTCAACAAGCCGTTTGCCCTGCCCAACCGCTTTCGTCCTAGTTGTCAAGTCACGGGTTGACCTGGGGACCCGACGGCAAATGAACGGGCGACTATCACGTATACCGATACTAGTTTATCAACGGTGTTCAAAACTCTTCCATCTTGGCCGGGGCTGCTGGCTTTGATGTCTGCCGTCGTCATGGTTCCACCCTGTTGCCATTTCCTCGTCCTCGCCCTTGCATCCAAGTATAGGGATTCTTTCTGCTATCGAGTCGTTTGCGCAATTCTGACACAATTCCCACGCACGTGCTGCAAGGTATTACCACCTTTGGCACCTCGCGATAAGTCATCGCACTTCTACCTGTATGTGTGCTTCAGATAGCAGCAGGCACAGCGCTTTCAGCGTCCCACCGGTATTCCGGCCCGGACTGCACCAAAGACGCACGTCAACCAACCATAGGTACCATGGTAGAGACATGCAAGGGTCAACGAACAACACATAATGCTGTTCAATATACTGCGTACAACAAGCATCATAATTAATAAACTTGATAAATGAATAAAAAACAGACCCCGGTCTCTTCGCGTCCTTGCCAGTGGAGGCGACTTCTTGCAGTCATGACTGACGATTGTCTGTCACCCAGGCCAGACTCCTGGATTGGGATGCAGTGTACTGCTACTACAGATGAGTAGCCAGGACCTAGCCCCGGCCCTCTCCTGACCAGTCTGTTTGTCCTCTTGATCTCTGGGGAGCCACCCCCTCCTCGCTTCGTCTCTATACTCACTTGACCCCCCGCCTCGACTCCTCTTTCAGACCTCTCTCGTCCTCCTCACCTACCCTCTCAAACACTCATTCGCCAGGTGTGTGGTTGCGAGTAAGGCTCGTCATAGTTTATACAGTCACGTCGGGTCGCAAGCCAAATTGATATCACCTTGCACTGAGTTATTTCGTCCAGATCTCACGACAGATAGACCCCCCGGGATAAGCTCATACAGCAAGCAGCACGCCTTCCTCGACTTTTCTTTCTTCTTCCATATGACACCATCGACCCGACCGTTTGTTGATCCTTTCTTACTTTTTCTTACCGCCGCCAACCGAACAAACCTCAAGACATCCAACTACCGACAACTTTTTTCCCCACCTTATTCCAAAGAAGGCGAATCGAAACCCGCTACTCAACCCTCACTTGACGCCTTTCCTGCTTTCTGACATCAGGACTTCTTCATCCTCTTCGAGCGAGCTCCTCCACGGACGTTCCCCACGCGGAGTCGCCTGTCAGTTCGCACATCAATTCCAGCCTTGACTACCCCACGGGCCTGCTTTTTCGCCTGATTGTCTCTTGATCTTCAAGTTTTCAGACGTCCATCACAAGGTTCCCCTAGAGAGGTGCTGCCTTCCCGACGCCGGACTGACCCTGCCCGTTCCGCACGTCTGAAACACTCTCAGTCCTTTCGCAGCACCTCAAGACCCGTAGTGTGTCGTGCACCCATCCGCGCTCGTCTCACCACTAACGAGTTCTCTTCTCTCGCCCGCTGCCAGAGCTGGCTGCTGCACTCTGCCCTTACTGCCATTCGTACGCTGACGACTGGACTGCATTGGCCCGTCTGTTCGTCGAACCATCTGGGCAGGCACGCCTGTTCCTATTTCGAGGTCCATGTCATCACCCTACTGCCACTTCTTGTCATCACAGCCACTCACTCATCCGTCATATCGCATCCAATCTGCTGTCAAGATTCGCCCCTGCTACCTTGTAGCATTCTCTCCCCTCTTCGTCCACGGCAACGACGACTTTTTCTTGTCGGGCGAATCACGTTGGCCTTCTGGCCAAGTCTCGAAACACTAAATGTACGTGATCCCTTTTGGGAACCCCCCCTACCCGTGGCCCCAGCCGTCTAGGTATTCCTTGCTCTGGAGGGGCGTGGCCAACTTGAAGCGACCCTCCCGAACCGCCGGGAACCCCCTGGGCCTATTGCTGGGCGGGTTCCCTCAGTGGCCGTGTCGCTTCACTCTTTCATTCTACCATCTTTACTACTCCTTTCAGCCCCCTCGCGCCTTTTTTCCATGCTAACTTGGACTTCTCGACGATAGATCGTCGGCTGCGTCTTTTCATTCTCTGCTACCCTAATTAATCCATCTAGCCTTTTGACTATCCTGCTACCCTTGTGTACGCAGTTCACTCATTCTTCGCCCTTTCTGTTCCATTCCTTTCTTTTCGTCTCCGTCGCGCCACTCGACTACCCATTTTAGCGTCATTCGACTTTCGATTCTTCCTAATAGGCCTGGGTCCTGTTTTCGATCTCGAACAGTTATACCATCTCCTACTGCAGTTGAGCGAGCGGTCATTCATTTGATTTACCCTACCGCCAGTCGTTTCTGTCCGCGAAGCTGCGCCGATTAGCTGCAGTCGTACTGATTACTGCCCATTCGAGTCTATACGAGCTTACCTCGGGCAATCTTCAAAGCGCCGCCATATCAACTACCCAACCTTCAGACGTCCGCAGGAAACACGGTCATCGACGATATTGCAGAGCGAATGGTCCACGTGCAGTGCCTGGACTCGCAGGCACACTGAAAAGAAGAAGAAAAGGACCGAAACAGGAAATCGGAAACCCGAAACTCTGATGTCGCTGGACCGAATTCACGAGTACTAAATGAGTCAACCCCAATATGGAAGAGATATGGATCGACCGCCAATTGCAGGATCCGTCAGGCGCGCGAGAGAGCGGGCTCAGGCCGGATTCCCAAGGGAACAGAACCCGCCGCCGAGCGTCACCAGGTTCCCAATAATGGAAAATGATCCAGACAGCCCTACCAATGTCTCAGAACAACAGCAACCATTCCAGACAACGTCCTCACGTGTACCGAGACCGCAACCACCTGCGCCACTACAGAACAGGGTCGGAGGGACTGGCGTTGCGATATCCCGACCGACACAGATTCCGCAATGGCCTCTTGGACCGATTTCGTCTCCCGCGAGCAACCCCGATGCCGAACCCTATAGGCCCCCTCTGGGTCGTGGCCCGCCGCCGCCACGGCCGCCCCGCCCGAGCAGAGTACCGTCTATCTTGGACAGTTCACGGGTTCAAGAACACACTCCCGTATTTCAGTATGTCCCCCAAACCGGACGCGAATCCATCTACAGCCAGGATGGTCAATCTGCCCCGCCTACCCCGACGTCGAGACACACGCAATCATCGATTTCATCGGTCGGATCGATACCAGACTTTCCCCTGCCTGCCGTCGCCCCGCCCATCGCCGCGCCGCCACCGGTAGTGCCGCCAAGGCGAAGCTTCGGCCTGGGCCCGCCGCCATCGTCGCGTCGAGGAGATTCATCATTTTATTCGAACGCCTCGTTTGTTTCCCCGATTCCCGAAGAGAGCCCACGGTCTAGGTCTCATACCTCATTCGCATCCAGCGCCGCGATGCCGGAGAGCTGGGGCAGCCAATCACCAGGATACAGCGAAGCAGACCCAGACGACTACTACGACGATGCGTATTCTAGCGAAGACGAAGACGGCCAGATGAGCCGTGGCAGCGGTTCACCGTACGGCGACGTAGGCGACGAGAGCAAGCTCGTGAGGAGCGCAAGTGTGGGCAAGATGTCGAAGCCCTCAATCGTGATGCATCGAGCACCGAGCGGCGGAGATCCATTCCCGCAGGACCTCCAGGGGCTACCACAGCGGCCGTCGCCCAGTCCCATGAAACTTCCCGTCAGCCCGTTTGATAGTGGGACGGCGTATTATGAGGGATCCAGCTCATCCGGAACAGTCCCCACCATTGCGGGCGGGGGCAATTCGGGATCACTCACGCCCAGCGTGATGCTTGGTGCCGTTGGTGCTGCCAGCGCGACAGACCTGCCAGAAACGAGGAAATTTACACCGTCTCCACGGCCATATGACCGCTTATCAGCCATTCGGCGTCCGCCAAAACTGGATATGGATTCGGTCAGAGAAATGGAATCTAGGGGTAGCATGACCAGCTTGCCAGACCTCATCAAGCGTGCGACCCGCTTAGCTGCCCTGATTGATCGCGGACGAAGGCCTGCAAGTCGATTTGAGCTGGATGATGGGACGTGGCCGGACGAAAAGGCCTTCGGGCGCGAGGGGGAGGAACCGATCTCTACCATGTCTTGTAAGTTGGCCGCTCCAACCTTTGTGCGAACTCAACGACTAACGTCGTTCTAGCTGTTGAAAAGCACCAGTCTGGCCTGTCTGACATGTTGGCCGCATTTCCTCCACCTGCAGCTACCACCCCTAACCCCCCGAACCCACCGAACCCACCGAATAGGGGCAGCTGGTTCAGGCGAGCCTCTACCGGTTCGTGGCCGCTAGCACCGGGTAGTCAAGGCAGCACTCCACAGCCAGTAACTCGTGCAATGGCAGCAAGAGGATCCCCGCTGACCAGGCTCGACTCCAATGACGAAGAGTCGTCGACCAAGCGTCGCCGAAGATGCTGCGGCCTTCCTCTGTGGGCGTTTATTGTCATTGTCGTCATCGTCCTGGGCCTTATCGCGGCGGCCATTGTCGTCCCCCTCGAATTCCTCGTCTTCCGGCGCAATCGGGCTAGTAATCCTCCAGCGGAACCGGCTTTGTCGCAATGTCAAAACCAGCTCAAGTGCGAAAATGGCGGAACAAATGTCATATCCCAAGGCGTTTGCTCGTGCATTTGTATCAATGGGTTTACCGGGCAGACTTGCACTGTGGCCGGAGCAACGGGATGCACCACCACCAGCCTCCAAGGGAATGGTACCCCGACCAGCTTGAGTAATGTCACTCTTGGTCAAGCGATTCCGCGGCTGCTTCAACAAGCTCAGACGAACTTCTCAATCCCGCTGGACGGAACCGACATTTTGGCCAAGTTGAACAGTGAAAACCTCTCATGCATTGCGCAAAACTCGCTCGTCACGTTCGACGGACGCTCGTCTCGCGTAGGCACCGATGACGCCGGTGTGGTTAACAATGTCGCCGTCCCCATACAGATCATTACCCTATTGCCCGGACAAGCGCTCACCCTCACGTTGGGCGTCGGTGTGCCTAGCATCCTGACCCTCCCATCGCCAGACATCCAGGGCGGATTTACGACCCTCTCGCGTCCTCCCCGGGTCACAACTATCAGCGCCGTCAGCTCGACCATGTGGGCCACGATCCCTATGATGTCCTCTCCATCACCGCTGCCAATATCCTCTATATTGCCGCTGCCGATATCTTCTCCAACACCGCTGCCCGAGACGACGACGACGACGACGACGACGACGACGACGACGACGACGACGACGACGACGACGACGACGACGACATCTTCGGTGCCCCCTCCGCCAGCACCAACCGTTCCCACAACGACTACCACGAGAGCAACGACCACAACAACCACCCAGGGGCCGCTTGTCCCCTCGATCCCATTATCTTCTCCGCCACCTCCCAGGCCTACATTTACGGTTACTGAAGAGACGCTTGATTTTGCCCGCGTTTCGGTTCTCCTTATCTTGGAACGGCAGACTTTGACGGCGGCAACGACGGCGCAATCTCTCTTACAGCGCTTCTTCACTACTGCGGACCAGGGTAGCCGGCAACAAAACGGTGGGATCACGCCAACTCAGGCCTTGAACGTCACTCTCGGTGGAGGGAACTCGGTGGACTTGGTTAACTTTCTCATTACCATCCCCGGGGGCATCCAACAGGGTAGGACAGGCCGCTGAAGAGACGCCGGACGAGCTGGCCGAGACCGCAGGGCGGAAATCAAAACCATGGCTGTTACCGGCGTGCCGACATGTGAGGGATATGTATATAGATATGACGCTTAATGAGGCGGTAGGGCGCTCCTTGCAGAGTGTGCCTGAGCAGTGTGAAATGGATGTAGGTACGCCGGCCAGCCATATTGTATAAAAGATACCAGTGTGTTTTCTTACTGAGAGAAGCGGAGAACTTTTTGCGAGCGAAGGATCTCGTCTTGTATGAGTAACTCTTCGCCCAGTCGGTGCTGCGACTGCTGGGGAGCCCAAGGAGGCTGATGTGTCGATACCATTGTTTTCAATCGAGATATAATCATGTCTGCAGCATGCGCAAACTCTTTTTTACCACGATTAATGTTTCTCATTCGGGTGGTACGAGGCCAAGTGGACTAAGAATGTGATATTTACGGCGTTGGCCGCAGAGGTTTTGGGGATAGATAGCTAAGCGCCAAGCGACAGACAGCGATTCATAGTTACGAGGTAGCCCAGAAGCCGGGCTCCAACAGAGGAACCGACAGCCAAGCGAGAATACAAGTACATGCATTGCCGACAAAACTTCTCCAGGCCTTTGAGAACAGTGTCTTCATTGCTCAAGAAAAGACCTAATCGTCGGTCTAATGGTGCTTTCGGGGTCGAATACATTGTCGCGACGGCAATCTTCAACATGCAAAGCGGCGCTCTTCGCATTGGGGCCGGATCGTTCCAACTCCCTTCTAACTTTACCGGGTGTCAGGGAAGAGCTACTGATGTCCAAAGGTCTCATTATTGATGGCTACTGGGGGTTTAGACTACAGGCAAGACATTTTTTTCAAGCAACTGTCAGCAGCTTCAGACAGTGTTGTAACAACTATACTAGAAACTGTACCTCATCATCCGCTGGAAGTCGTAGAACCAAGGCAAGCTAGCAGCCATAGCGTACTGAAGCCGAATCGTCCACGGTAGTTCTTTGATTAGCGGCCGACCAGTAAGCAATAACTCCTCCCGCAAGGTCAAGCCCTCGGCCCATGCCTCGATAGATAGGGGATTATCTAACCCCCAATTGAACCTACTGCCCGATTTGACAATAGGTTTTAGCCAACCCTGCGCGGCCAAAACGAAGGAGTTGGTTGCGTCAAATATCAGATGGCCATGCTGATGCTGCCCCTGTCTGAAGTGGTCTACTAGCCCGTGTACCAATCCTCGCATTTCCTCTTCGGCCAGGTACATGCTGAGCCCTTCAATCACAATCACGGTTGGGCGGTCAGCCGGTATATCCCGGTACCAACCAGCTTCTGTGGCTGACAAAGCTTGCATCTCGTAGGTACTGCCATTTCCGTTGACAAGAGGATCTGGCACCAGCTCCCTGCGCAGCTTGACAACATCTGGCAGGTCAACGTCGATCCAGCGCAACGGCATCCGGGAGAAGTATTGCCGCAGACGTAGCGCGCGAGTGTCCAAGCCGCACGCAACATGCAGCACCGTTGCGCCGTTGGGCGAGTGGGCGTGTAGGTCTAGGAACTCGGACGTCCAGCGGTCAAAGTCGCGGCTACGCAGGACCGCCCAAGCCTGCATCCATCCAGGTACTTCCAGGCGGTTGAAGTCATAATCGATTTTTGTCAGCATCTCTGCTGCCCAAGTGTCCCTGAGGATTGGCGACGGGCTAGTGGCGTCGACGGCTTTGGACAGGACTGTACCAAGTAGGGTCTCTGGCACGCCGGTGAGGGCGGGTTTCGTTTTCCCGCCGGGCGCCATTATGATGGCTTCTGTTTGAAAGTAGGAATAAGAAAAGTAAAAGAGTTTTGTCTGTGACTTGGCGATATCCACTTAGTTAGAACCTACGCAAGAGCTTTATATCCTAAGCTAGCGGGGGGCGCCTGGTGCTTGGCCAATTGCGATTCAGCACAGGACTATATTGTTGCTCAAACAAGACACTCATTACTCTTTACTCTTTGCTTGTGTATGCATCTCGAAAGTTAATTTGCCATTGTTTTGACGAAGGTAAAAGCGGAACAGGATCCACATAGTATGTTGTCTCCCTGCGCTAAGCCGTCTACCAGGGTTAGCAGCTTAAGTATTCAGAAGATTGGTCGTCATGTCATCTTTCAAGTGTCAATTGTCAAATGTCATACCTGATTATATGTATGCGTATATTGTATATCGACGTAGAGTAGCGTGAGCGGTAGCAACTACCCACAGGCCGAATAACTTATAAATCACGTTGATCTATTAGCATTTATCAGATGTTACTGCTTGCGAAGAATGCGTATCGTCTTGGGCAGCCCAACGCAGGGCCCACGTGCTCCAGATAGTACTGGACTTCGGAGGTACTGTGGGAGCTGACCTATACGCACCGTGTTCGTCCGAGTCATTGTCTGTCGATGACCGATAACATCCTTAGTTCGTCCACATCGACATTCAATGACATAATACGGTTCTTCTATAATATAAGGCGTAGCAGAACGTGCCGCCGCCGGCCCCACGTTCAGGACCGGCTCGGCACTCGTACATTGGCCAGCCATTCTCGATTTGTATGACGATGCAGCTAGGTACCCTCCTGACACGGAGGGCTGTCTCATCATTGGTGGCATCAGACGCAGCACATATTCTTACCGTCAAGCCAGACAACCTCCTGTTAAGGCGAGCTCTCATCATTGGCTCGGAAATCGCAAACGTCTTACCAGAAGGATCGAAATCCTGCCCCCCGTGCGGGGTTCTTGCCACCACCACTTCATATCAGGCTGGTAGACGGTCTGCCAGACCAGGCTGGCTGATGTAGCGGGTAGAATAAAACTGAGCAAATCCGGGCCTGGAATTCTCCTCGCTTTCTGTCCCACTGGCTTTGGAACCGTTTTCTCTCACGTACCGCAGTGGGGCCTCCAAACGCTACCTTGTTCCCGTGGCGTTGGCCGCTCAATCCGAAGCCCCCTGGGTCTTTTGTACCATGGATCCTGACGACCAGCTAGCATATGTTGATCACCCGCTCTGGGCGCGGTTCTTGCGCTGGTGCACCGTCTACCCGAAGAACTATGAGACGGACAATAGCCAGCTAGTGCTCCTGTCTGAAGAAGAGCGTTCGCGACTAGAAGACCTCCCCGACTATAAGTACACTCCACTAGAGGACCCTAGCCAAGATGTACGAATCGTCGAATTACTGCCTGGCAAATTTGACGACGACATCATCATCCGAATCCACCACATTAGGCTCACCCCACCGCCTCAGAGAGGAAAGGTGTGGAAGACGACGTTGGCCGAGGTCAGGAGGGAACTCCCTCCTGATTGGGAAGCCTTTCAGACCGTTGGTCTACCACATTCTACACAGCTAACAGCCCGGCGGCTTTTGCGATTTCATCGCTAACTTCGTGTTCAAGATTGTCGATCGCAGGTTCTTCTTCAGAGATATGAAGACGGGAAAAACCCAGTGGGAACACCCGCGAACCAAGCTCCACCCGCGAAGGACCATTCAGTACGAAGTTCCGCCAAAGGACGCGTCCTTTCCGCAATATGAGACGCTTTCGTACGTCTGGGGCTCGTCTGCAAAGACAGCGGTCATCACGGTTGACCGTCCTGACAAAGAGGGGCTGGCCCGTCTGGCCGTAACCGAGAGCCTCATCACGGTACTTCGATATCTTAGATACTCCCAGAATAAGCGAAACTTATGGATCGATGCCATTTGCTTGAACCAGTCTGACAATTTCGAGATGGGTCAACAGGTTCCGCGCATGGGTGAGATTTATCTGCATGCCTACACGGGAACGGCCTGGCTGGGAACTGAAGGTGATGGAAGCACTCATGCTTTCGAGGCTTTACGATACTTGGGCGACCAGGTTGTAAGTGAGGGGGGTACAGGCTTGCTATTTCCGGCACCCCACACGAAGGAGGAGCAGTGGTACGATCCAGACTTCGAATTGCCGTATTCGGAAGAAACTTGGAATGCCATCATCTCCTTGATGAGGAGGCCATGGTTCAACCGGCTCTGGGTTGTCCAGGAAATACACCCAGGAGCGTTCTTGCAGGCTGGCCACGATAAAATAGCCCTTACCTCCTTCTCGGAAGCGCAGTATTGCCTCTACTGTAAGACACAACTCCCGCCTGGCATCCGATGGCAGATGACCCAGGTAGACGGCACTTTGTCGCGATTCTGGACCATGGCCCTGCCCAGACTGCTCTACCGTGGGGCATATAAAGAGTGCACAGACCCCAGAGACAAGATATACGGACTGCTTGGACTTGCCCCCAGCAAGTTTGCGAAGGGTATCAAGGTCGATTACGAAGCAGCCAACACCGCCGACAACGTCTACAGGATGGCAACTCTCACCCACGCCAAGACAACACAGCGTCTAGAGCACTTCCACAACTGTTTTACCCCCAAGAGTGAAAGAAAGATACCTGAAGGGCCTTCGTGGGTGCCGGATTGGTTCTCTGAGTGCCCGGGCGAGTCGTACATCCCCTCTCAGTTTGTAACATCCACATCGCGCGCTCACTATCGCCATTCTGAAGGTCAGTGTAGTTGCTCACTGCGGTCTTGTGCTTCTTTCTCCAGGCCAGCTGTACATCAGGTACCGCACTGCTTCAATATCTGCAACTGCTGACTTGTACATTATTCGTTAGATAATTCCCACCTTCTCGAACTGTTAGGGGTGCGCTTTGGAAGCGTTTGCCATGTCACTGAGCCATTGTCCTCACGACTAGAAGATCGCCGAGACGCGATTCATCACATAAGACAGTGGCAACCCGCCGACTTGGACAGCGCGACGTATGGCCCCACAGGCGAGCCTTTACGAAAAGCGTATGCAATCACACTGGCCTCTTATGGGTTGAGAGAACGCGAGCCCGACTGGATCGTGAGTTCGGTGACCGAATGGGCGCGGCAGGACTTCGATGACGATGAAGTTCTCTTCCGCAAGCCGGCAACAGCGGAGTGGTCTTCTGCCGAATCACACAAAAGTCGCTTCTCTTCATCTCCTGCCCCGAGACAGGATGTTTCAGATGCTTTGCAGCTTTGTGCCGACCGTCTGTTCTTTCGGACTGACGATGGCTATATAGGGTTGGCGCCTCACAACACCCAACTGGGAGACATTGTTGCTGTCCCCCTTGGCTGTCCTAATGCTCTCATCCTCCGTCCCAGAGGCACGGATGCCGATGCGAAGGATGAGAGGGAGAAAAGCAATACTTTCTCGGTGATTGGCGAGTGCTTTGTGTACGGGCTCGAAGATGCCGTATCACTGCTTGGGCCTCTGCCCAAACCATGGATAGGGATTGCGGCCTGGGGAATTGGCGACCGGCGATTTCTCAATTTCGTCAATACCGAGACGAAAGAGAGGACAGCGGAAGATCCCAGACTGTTGCCCTTGGATGAATGGGAACGATTCAACAAGAGCCCAACTCCAGACGACCCTACCTTGTTCGACTTTTTCCGCCATAAGAGCACGGGAAAGGTTGTTAACTACGACCCAAGGCTGGAGCCTCAGGCCCTGGAAGCAAATGGTGTTCCACTGACGTGGTTTTTCTTAATCTGAGCCCTTTTTGTTTACACTTGATCCTAAGAACAAGCTCGGGGAGTTGGTGGATTTTGGGACTCTCTATAAGTGTTAGACCACTTCGCCACTTTGTTAAACTTCCAAGACACACGTGGCAACCCACGAGCTTCTAAAGAACGAGAAAGAGGGTAACTGAGACTTGGTGTGGTGTTTTCTTAGACCGACTACTTACTAGTACATGAATAATGATAACATTGTCTCCTTGACTTGTCACAGGGGCCTTGAGGCTTCAGCCTGGCTCTCCTTATCCCTTGCTCTTATCTGGCATTGGCGAGACGACGTAGAGGGAGACGCGGTTCCAAGCAAGACACTACTGTTTTTTTTTTTTTTTTTTGTGGGCTCCCAATGCAGCCGTCCCTCCAGGCGGAGCCTACGTGTGTAATGTGCTGACGGTTAGAGAGAAAGCATGAAGACCCATGTAAGACATCTTCTGCGCGGGTACGCCGGGCTCGGGAGATGCTCGCGCTGCTGCCGCCATCTGCGGGCAACCCTGGCGTCCTGAACGTCGACGTGGCCCAGCTGCCCAAGGGCGTGTCTCCTAGCGACTTGCGCATGTGTGCTGGGCATCCGAACGGCGAAGTGCGTATCCTCGATCCTCGACAGGGCGCATCGCTGGATCCCGTGGACGCTGGTGTGGAGGGCGGCGTGCCTTCTGCCAACGAAACCACCCTCCCTTCAATGACTGCGGAGACAACCCGCTTACGCAAGCCTGCGGCAAAGGCTGTGTTGCGTCCCGGTCATACGGCTGTAGCCGTTAAGTGTATCGAGGATGTTGTTGGGTAGGCCGCCTTGGTGAAAAGCACTTTAGACACACACGAAAAGCAAGGCCTTCGAAGGTAAGCCAAGATCAAAGAAAGAAAGAGCGGTTCGAAGGTTAGAGGGTTACAGGTGGACGAGGTCGGTTCTTGGCGGTAAGGGAGGTGGATGAACGCATCGTGGAACGGGACCGATGTGGCTCTGGTCCCCTGCCTGCCGGAGAGTGACAGGGTTGAGAATGGCGGCATACGGACATGGAACAGGGGGCAGGGATAGGGGTGAGGAAAATAGCCCGGCCATATCCGTACCTCTGAGGGCGGAAAACACTGCCCCATTGCCTCTACGAAGTAACGACTGACAGGTGCCGTTCCATTGGTGTGGTAGCCTCTTTGCTTAGTACGGAGTAGTGTCAGTACCTACTATACCGAGTAGATAGTATTTGAACTAACTAATTAGGTATGTATGTGCCCCTGCGTCCGTTTAACCCCTTTCTAGGCGCAGGTCCTCCGTCTGGTGTGTGGGTATGCCAGAGCAGGTGGGCCTACCCTGCTGCAGATGCCGTAGCCTTCCATTTTTGCGGTGGGCTTCTACCTCTCGGAAGCAAGGGAGGGCAACTGGAAAGGATGACGATGAACAGGACGAGATAAGGATGGGTTCGAGGGGGGGAGAACCAGAACATGTCAAACTCGTCAGACTGAAATGGTCCGTCAAAAGTGTCATCGTGTCTTTTGAAACCCATCGTCTGTTCTGGACCGTCGGTCTTCGGGCTGTCTTCTCTGTCGCCTGTCTGTCCAGATTACTTTACCGATGGACCGTAGTGCTGAATGTCCTGTCTGTCATCCATGTCCGCAGCGCACAGAGCCTTAGCTTCCCCAGCCTCGAATGTGGGAAAGAGGCTTGAGACGATGCCGAGAGGAACACGAACCTGTCTTGCTGTAACCAGTATCAGCACGCGTCGCGTCGTGCATAGCACCCACCCCGGGCGTGTGGTGGCCTCTCTGGCAAAAATCAAGGTTGCTTCTCAGCTTTAGCCGTCCGTCCTGTCCATACCATGCGCGTCAAACTAACCAAAGCCTCCTCGCCAAAAGGCTAGCGAGGGCCACGAGCGACGCCTTTTGAGGCTGTGAAGCTCGGGCTACGAGCTGACCTGCCCCTGATCGAAGAGATGCCAAAGTATGCACCTTTCCGCGCAGACAGCTGCCGACGAGTAAGTACCTCTTGCAAGTTTTTCTGAGGTTTCCCACCCCGGTCTCCTTCTCGATGTAGTAGTAGTAACGAATAACAACAGAACCCCACTCGCTGGTCCTGCGAGTGAGTAAGTGGTGCAACCCTTACACCCTGCGGTGGTCATCCATTGCGACTCTGGGAAGGAACTTGGGAACTTGATTGACTGCCTTTTGATTGACCTGCAAGCGGGTGGGCTGCGCATCCCAGGGGGCCCCTTCCACTGCTCCTCTAGCTCTTTCCCCTCACTCTCGCATCTTGCTCACCTCTCACTGCGCCTCTGAGCCGTTCCTTCTTTCACTCTCACCTACCTTCACTCTCGTCTTGTTTGCTTCACTGCATTTTCATTCATTTCTTCCTGCCCGTCGAGGGCACCAACTGGCATTCTGCTTCTGCCGCTCACTCGCTGCACTACCTCGTCCGCGTTTAACTGTCGTTCCGTTCTTTCCACCCATGCTCACACAGTATTGTTAGTCACTTTGATTTAGATACCGACCTTCACTTCTTTAGAGCTCGTCCGTCGTGTGCATTTCCATCTCACTCTCGGCTCCCTGGCATCAACCGGCCTGCTCGGCGGCCTTCAGCCCCTTCCCCCTTTCTCTTGAAGGCATTGGCCGGGTTCGGGTTGAACTCTAGGCGGCTGATTGGCGACATCCTCTCCCCAGTCGAGCTTCATCCCATCTCAACCACCCTTCATCATCTCCATACGGCATCACTCCGTAATCACGCCCGCCCATCATGAATCACAGCCAACAACATCCGTCGATCGAGATCGACGACGCGGCATATCCTTCCGACTCAAACTACTCCCCGGCCAACCACCCCTCCAGCTCCATCAGCAATGCCGCTTACCCGTCAAACTCGTCCTACCGGCCCTCGGACCCGACCACGTCTACCGACGACAAGCTCGCCATGCCCAACGCCCGCTATTCTCAGTCGTACGATGCCGGCTCCGGCGCAAGCAGCAGAAGCAACAATAACAACAACATACAACTAGTCTACCCGTCATATCCCCCCAGCGCCGCCCAATCGCCCCTGGGCTGGGCTCATTCGCCAACTCACGACCCGTTGCTTGGCTCCTACTCGCCCGCGCGTAGTCCGGTAACCCCATGGAGCCCGGACGGCATGTCCGCCGCGAATCCCAACCTGCCCCCGCCGCCGCCGTATGATGCCTCGAGGACGAGCACTGGCACGAACCCCCCCACGCCTCGAGACCCTGTGTCGCCCAACTCCTCGGAGCGCGCCCTGCTCGGATCGCAGCAGTCTCGTCAGCAACGGAACGCGGCGCATCCCCCAAGGCCTCAGAGCACCCACTTCGAAGCGCCACAACAGTCGCCTGCGCCAGCCGAGGCGCATGTCGCGGGTGCGCCGCCGGAACAAGGGGAACGGGGCGGGCCGCGTACATACTTGCAATCTATGACGGGCGGTATGCCGGCCTACGGTAGCAACCCTGGACAGCTTGGTCCCGTGGCGCAAGCGAGACGGCGGCGAAAGGTGAAGCTCGGCATTCTCGTTGGTGTTCTTTGCGCCGTTCTGTTGTTTCTGGTCGCCTTGGTGGTGGGTATCTTACTCGGCGTCGTCAAGTTGAACAAGGACGACAAGTTCAGGCTACCTCCGCCACCTCCGCCACCTCCGCCGGGCTTTGGGGGCTCTTAAGGAGTGCGAATATGACACTAGCCTGAGAGAAGGCGACTTTGTCATGCGGCCTGGGCTTCTTTCCCGCGGCGTCTGGACAGCATCATTTCACCGATACCCCACTATTGCATTCTCTCTCATTTTTCTGTTTTTTTTTTTTCTTTTTCTTTTTCTTTTCTTTTTGTATCCATTATCAGACACCCCGTGGATTTGCTGATTTTGAGCATTCGAGCGTCGCCGAGGCTGGAGGAACGAGGGGGATACGAGATTCCGGTGTTTAATGTCTTGTGAACATGCAGAACGGAGTACAGTTATATGAACAAACGAGAATGGGAGGGGAAGAGCGCTGGTTTGTATACTACCGGTCCCAACATTGAAAACAAGGGTCGGGCTACTGAGAGGGCCGTCTATGAGATGAAAACGATATCAAGCGCAATTACAAAACGTCGTATGAATATGTTTTCTTTATCGGTGAATCCGGCTTGATAATGGAGCGCACGATGCGCGCTCACCGACGAGTCGACCGAAGCAACAGTATGTGACTTTCGACCCAGTGAGCTCGGGGGTCTACAGACCAGCTGCCCGGAGGCGAGGCCACAACTCATTGTGGCGGGGGTGAACGGGAAACGTTCCAGGAGTTGGGAGACCGCTCGACTTGCAGCGCTCGCCGCGGAGGAAGGAGGGGATGGCGTTAGAGGGAGAGCCGGCGCGCCTTGCGTGTCAAGGGGGGGGGGGGGGGGGGGGGGGACGCGGACGTGGAGGCTGCTCGGGCGGCGAGTCCGTGGCCGAGAACGCTGCCGGTGTGGGGAAACGCGGGCGGCGTCTCGGTGAGAGTTGCAGACTTTTGGCGCCTGGTAAAACGACTGCTCTGGCGCGGCAGAGTAGCCTTCTTTCGCGTGGAGGAGCGATTCTCTCGCTTGGCAAATCAGAAGGGTGCGCGCGGGAGGTATGGTTTCCCTTTCACCGTGCTTTTTAAAGGGGCGGAGGGGAGGATGGCGGTCATACCGCGGGAGAGTGCTTCGCTTTCGAAATCCGCAATGGGATCCAGTCAGTTTCACTTGACATCACGTACATCTTTTCGGATGTCCGGTAGCCGCGGCCGCGTTGGATGGCTCGCGCTCAAGCAGAGTACGTCGGCTGCCGACGTCGAGTGTCGATTCGGGTGTCAATCAAGGCAGCACGAAGCCCGTGGACATCATGTCACGCCGTCCATCGGCCTGGCGAGCCCACACCACAGAGACGGTGAAGCACGGCCATTGGGATAAGAAAGGGGATCTGGTTGCTTGGCCATCCATGCCCTCCAATCCCGGTATTCGGCCCAAGCACCGCCGCGCCTGATACGTCCGCGGTTCAAAACAAATCACGTGTATCGTGATCGCGATGAACCCGGGTCTCGATATGCTTTTCCAATAACCGCATCAAAGTCACGACAGGGTGGGTATGCATTCTATCGGGGTCAACTGTGTGGTCTCTGTGAGATGATTTCCGAATCCTACAAAAGAGCAATTTGGCAATCCTACATATGGCACGTGACTATACTGCTACTGCCAACACCATGGCGTTTTCCAAGGTTCGGTCGACGTACAATGGACTACGTGGCGATGGCTGACGGAGGCAGATATCCTCCAGCCCAGGTGAGGGAATACCGAGAGCATGCCGGGTAGAATCCTGGCTTGTGGCGTTGGGATAGTCTGGTGTTATCTCCATCTCCCCCTTGGTTCGACGCCAGGAGAGGGCCCCTGGACTGCCTGCAAGGGCTCAAGGAGAAGGGGTTGCTTGCGGAAGTAGACTGTTGCACTCCATGACGAGGGACCGGAACCAAAGACGCTAGCATTTATAACGCCCAAGGGTTTCCCCACGCCACTCGGGAGCTAACGATATACAGGTCCTCCGAGACTAGGAGGATCGAACCCGGTGTTGTTCATGTTTCCATCTCGGATCAGACTCTCCCACACGTGTGTCTTGATACCGGGAGGGGAAGGGGTGCGAAGGAGGGAGCAATAAGGCACCTCCCCGCAACCGACGTCGGTCTGACGGACGTTGAGACAGCAGGGGGGGGTCGGCAACCCGCCACGTTCGACCTGAGATCTTTGGGGCGGCACGGCGGTACCGGTTCCTGTACGCCGCCGCGGCATCTGTGGTCTTGCTTGGCCCTGCCGGCGTTATTCAACCTTTCTGCAGATCCGAGCTCTTCCAGGGGGAAGGGGGGCAGGAGGAAACCCGCCCCCTCTTCCGCTCCAGACAAAGAAGAAGAGGTTTCAAGGCATAGGCTTTTCTCGTCGTTGGTGCCCTGCCCCCAAACGTGGCCAAGAAGGCTCGGTTCCGCTTTTGTACGTAGGAGATACCCCACCGTGAAGGGACCCTGGTTACCTTCGGCACCGGACAAGACCTCCGAGATACTGGACAGGGAGGGAGAGGAAAGAGGCGGCGGATGGAAACAGACCACACGCTCCCCCCCGCTCCCCCCCCCCCCCCACCTCTCGGCACACGCCGTCAACGGGTTCCCGGACATGCGCGCCCGACGCCCAGGGTAGGACAAGGTGAACCAGTCATGGGTGAGGGGGACCCGCAATCGCATATTGAGAATACGGTGTGGTCGAAGGCGATGGGCACACGACTCTTACATGTAAACACTGGTTTAGCCCTTGCGTGGGGGTCGCGATTTGACATGATCCGAATGGGTCTTGAGGACGACGCGTAAGTTCGATTCGCTCTCGAAATGGAACGTGAGATGCAAGTTGCAGCAGTCACATATACCGTCACAGCATGTCACGGTCGCATTCCTCAACCACTAGCCACAATGGCTGGACGCGCAAGTTGTAGAGGTCAAGAATACTGTCAATACTCGCCTCTTGGGGAGGAAAAAGAGCCTCCACCCCACCACCGCTCCACCTCCCAGCCAAGGCCACGGCTGCTGTTGGCCTCGATACCTTTACAGGACTACCATTGTTTTTCTCGACGCCCACGAGCCGTGTCCAACAGCGGTCTTAGTATTCTACTTGAAACTCCGGCCCCCTGAAAGTGCTTTTGTGTTGTCTCCGTTCCTAATGATGGAAAGGCTCAAAATAGAAAAAGAAAAGGTTATATGGGTGGTGGGTCTTTGTCCGGAATCGTCTCTTCGTGATACAAAAGCATAAGAAGAAAAACGATTAAGATGAAGAGAAATTTCAAATGACATATGCAGGCCAGTCTGCATTTCTTTGGAATCCTGCTGCTGCAATCAATGCTTGAGAAGAAAAGGGGCCATGCTGTCGTTGACGGAGAATCGAAAAGTCATAAAGCGTACAAAAGGCCGTATCGACATCCAAGGTCGAAATGCTACAGCGCCGCGAGGCTGATATCGAGAATCGTGAGATGTGTTTTGCCGATGGAAACAAAGTCGTCTTGTTGCAAAAAGAATATTCCAGATGAAAAACTTGTGCCCGCATTGCCAGGTTAGCGAGCATGGGGAAACGCCTGGGTCGATTGAATGCATTGCTGCCGGGCACCGCGCTGGCCCCGAGCCACAAATGAGCACTCTTTACGCAGCCGGGGTAATACCACGTGTGTTGGGGCTGGAGGGAGAACATGGTCGTAGCCGGTGGTGGGCCCGGTCCGAAGTACGAAGCTCAATCAGAAGAAGGGCGAGCAGCGTTTGTTCACAGGATAACGCATCGGTGGCCGTCAGGGCGTTTCCGCCTTCGGTTCTTCCGCTTGGCGAAGCTCATAAGGCCGGGGTTCTTCTCGTTCTCGTGCTCGTCGTCTTCATGGACGGCCTGGTTCTGAATCTTCTCATCCTTCATGAGAAGTTGACGACAGATATCTATGAAGACGGCATCGACGTTGGCTGGGTACCGAGTCAGCTAGTTGCCACCAGGTAGACTCGTCGTCAATCCGTCATCGACTCACTTCGTGTCCTGGCGCTTGTCTCATAGTAGGGTGCATCCCACATCTGCGAGCACGCGAAAGCCCTTTGTCTGGGTACAGATCGCTGCTCCTCCAGGTCGGCCTTGTTGCCGACAATGACGATGGGAACGTTGTCGTCGTCCTTGATACGGGTGATTTCCTCGCGCAGCATCTCGATCTCGGTCATTGACGAGGACGAGGTGATGCTGAAGACCAAAATGAAACCTTGGCCAGACTTCATGTACAAATCACGCATGGCGACTGCAAGCAAGGTTAGAGGAGATAACGGGCGAGGTCTGTGTTCTGCTTACCGAACTGCTCCGTGCCTGCGGTGTCAAGGCTGTGTCGATTTGTCAGATACGTTGCCTCAAGGCGGCGAGCACGTCGTTGCTACTCACATTTCCAAGACGACTTGCCGTCCCTATGCATGAATCCAGTAAGTCATTCGTCGTAGTAAGCGGTGCTTGCATAAGATTAACTCACGTCCACCTGGAGTTGTGTACGGTAGGTGTCCTCAATGGTGGGATCGTAACTCTCGATCCACTCATTGTGGACGAATTGGGCTATGATGGCGGTTAGTTCGCCGAACCATTGACAGCAAGCTGCTCTGAATGATGCGCACCTGTCAAGCAGCTCTTTCCAACACCTCCTAGAGGGGAATCAGCGGATTGCGCACATGACGACATGGTTGCTTTGTTGCCGACTCACCAGCGCCCAGTACCACGACATGGAGCTCACGACTAAGAAAAGGGTCAGCTCGCAATTCTCTACATGGCAAGCAACGGTAGGGAACCGAGCGGGAACGTACCATGACTGGAGATGTCTGTTGTTCTGGCGTGACATGATGTTTCGTCGAGGAAGCTGCCGTTGCACAGCAAGACTGGCTCTCTGTGTGCAGAATGGACTGGGTTCGAATGAGATGGGGCAACGAAGCGATTTGGTCAGTTAGAGGGGTTTTGACAGCTGGTCGTCTTCCACTGAGGAAGGGCGGCCGGGCTGGTAGCAACTTCACAATCGGCGCTTCATGCGGCTAAGGACAACAACAGAAACAACAACAAGGTTGAATAGAGTAATGGCGAGACGGGTGCTTATGGCGGAGTGATGCTGAAGTCCAAAAGCCAGGTTGCAGATTCGAGGCTGCGGATTGCCGTGCAAATCCTTCTGTATCGGGGGTGGATGGGCGCGGTTTCCAGAGATGCAACAAGGTACCTGGAATGGACGAAGTAGAATGGCGGGGGGGGTCCGGATGCAATTGTAGTTGGAGCGCAGGAGGGTCGAAGTTTGAAAGTCGGGGGCTCGGGTCAGGGAGCTCTGGGTCTGGCCCGTCCGGATTGATTGGAAGAGTGGAGACAATGAGACCAAGGGGGGCTAGGAAGGGGGGGGGAAGGGAGTTTGACGGGGAACGGGGGACGGGCAGAAAATACAAATGCAGATTTAGCGATATGGGGATTATCTTTTTTTTAATAGGGGAACAAAAGAAGAAGGAGAGTGGGTGGGAGTGAGAAGAGGGAAATGAGTGAAGAGGAGGAGGAGGAGGAGGAGGAGGAGGAGGAGGAGTAGAAGTGGGAGGAGAGGGAGGCAAAAGAAAGAGAATAGAAAATGGACCACCACGGCCGCCCGGGGGCAGGAAGAGAGTCAAAGTTCCCAACCAGTCCCTCTCTTTATTTCTCTCTCTATTCTCTTTGGCCACCCACCCAATTAAAGGCCGCCAGTGCAGCAGTTTGTTCGTCTTGTCTGCAAGGGCCTCGTGTGGCCAGGGTGCGCTAGGTAGATCGAGGTAGGTACTTTGTACCCTGGGCGCCCATCTCCAGTAACAGACCCGTAGGCAGCTTGATAGCAGTAGCGGTAGCGGCAACCCGTTGTGGGCGTTGTAGTAAGGGCAGGGACGGGACAGGACAGGACAGCAAGGTTGGAACATCAAGCATGGTATCGTTCGTACCTCTACCTTACCTACCCAAGGGAGTCGCCATTGACGGGTACGTACTTGCCTCCCAGGTTCAGAGGGAAGCGAACGAACCACTGAAGACCCAAGCGGATAACAGTGCACTACCAACTGCGAGAGATGGATGGCCAACAGAACATGGGTAGCTGGGAGTATTGAGGTATATTTCTCTCTTCTTTGCTTTTTTTTTTTTTTTTCTCACCCGCCTCTGTTATGCTCTGCTCTCTTTGCCTCTGCGTTGCCAATACATGCGCGTACATGTAGACATAACTAGCCGTCTTTGCAAGCACCACCCCCGGCGCATGTCAGCTTGGGTTGGTGGCTGTCCAAGGGCGTGCAGTGCGCCCACCCCAGAGAAGCCCACTAACTACCTAGTCGGTCGCACTTCTAGTGCATTAAGCTTTCATCAGCTAGCTTCATCTCCGCTTGCCGACTGCCGGGAGATACGGACTACTGCCGCTAGAAATAGCCGCTTGGGGAAAAGCGATAGGCAGGAGACTGTGAAGCAGGCGAAGCAAAACACAGTAAAGCGACCCAAGCATCATGTGGGACGAGAATTGAACCCGCTGAGCTTGTTCTTGCCCTGGGACCAGGGTAAAGCGAGGCGGCAGCGGGATGGCCACGCGAGTGATGGGAGGTGGTGATGGTTACCGTCTTACACTGCATACACAGCCGCCGTATTACATAGGTGCCGCTCTCGACAAGGGTGTCTGTTTGGCGGGAGAGGCAAAGAAACAAACGACGAATCGCGGCTGAGGTGAGTCGTGGTGAGTATCCTAGGTTTACGAGGCTTACGAGAAAAGTCATGTAGGCGAGGCGTATACGCAAGGTACGTGACGGGACGCGATGCGATGCGATGTAGGTGATACGACTGGTGACTGGTAGACGGATGGGCGAGTAACGAGAAAGCAGAGGCTTACAACGCTGACGACTTGGCGGAACCCCGGAAAGGCATGCTGGTATGTATATCCTTGGCGACGGGAAAGAAAAAAAAAACAGGGAAGAGGCGAGAGGGGGCGGCTGTCGTATAGATGGGAAGGATACGGATAAGCTGGGCCGCTTTGGTACTTTATCACACGAGGAGGCATCAGCAGTCGAAGATGAGAGGAGGAGGGTCAAGAATAAAAAAGAAGATCTGGAAATGAATGTCTCGCAACCTGTTGCTGGGTGTCTCGAAATATTAGAGGGGCTGACGCTACTGTCGGACGCTTGCGCAGTAGCTCCAACGTCGTTGGCGATCCCTGATCCTTTTCACCTTGTCGCAGGCTGCGAAGGGAATAACACCCCTAAGCTGAAGTCGATGCTGGCCAAAGTCATTGGCGTCGTGTAGGTAGGTAGAGTACACGTGGTTCGGTGTTTGAGCGTCATGCCGATGCGGGGGGCATTGTCAGGCCAATGTTTGTCCAGGGTGATTGGAGGAGGGAGTGCGTCCCGGCTCCAGAGGTTTCCAGCTTGGCCTCTCGGCTTCCTTATTCGTTTCCTCTTTCTGACCAGGCATGATAGTGTGCCGTTCAATGTGAGACCATAAAGATCCAATGGACACCGAAGTACAGAGTAGTCGAGTTTGGGATTTCATTTGGCACCCTTGATAGGCGAGACCTCGAATTCCCGGCGATTGGAGAAGCAGGTATCATATGCTGGCTCGGACGACGGGTGCGGGGGTCATTGAGGAAGGAATTTCCAGAGGAACAAGGCCGTGGGGTTGATTGCTGTTGGTTGCGCAGCGGATGGCGGAAAAAGCAAAGACGGTGCGGTCCCGTATCTTGGCCGCTTGAGGTTGAAGCCGACTGGATCGGGGCAAAGTCGTGCTGGGTGGTCTCTGCGAGCAGCCCATCGTGTCTCGGGCTCAGGCGCGCTATGGCCTAAACAGAAGTGCTGCGTTTGCCTCGGGCATTTGGTGGGGGGAGCGAGTGAAAGACGGGGTTCGATCCGAATCTAGCAAGTAAGGGTCAGGCTGCTGCCGGTTGCCCAGAGGCTAGAGCAGGACTCGAGTGGGATGCAGCGCGCACGTAAATACATATCCATACTACGATAGGTAGTAAGTAGACCACAAGCTCCTGCATTTGGCTATGGGGCTCGTGGTCGACCATCCTACGTGGTGGGGTCCCTCTCCCAACTACCATGTGCCTCCAGTAGAGTAGGTAGTCCGTGAGCAGGCGGAACCATGGACTGAGGGGGTTACAGCGGACGGTTTGCGGACTCTCGAGGGTGCTGCTGAACCTCTCACACGATAGAGACTGGGCTGCAATGGGGACCTGGCCGCCCTCGAGCCCTTTGTGGAGGTCGTGTTTTAGCGCACTTTGATTCCGTTTCTGCTGCTCCTCCCTCGTTAGCTCTGCGGGTGGACACTTGATGGGGGAGAGGGGTGGGGGGATATGCAGCTGCAGGTGCAAGAGTGGATAAAACGGAACAAAAGAATAGTGTATCTGTACAACACAAAACGTGATGACGATAGTGAGATGGAGATGGGGACAAAAGATGCAGTCGAAGCAGAGACGTTGGTCGTCGCGGTGGAAAGTACGCCTCCCTCTGGTATCCCAGACGGGAGACCACGGCTACCATTCCTTCCCTCTCCTTTGAAGGCTCCTGTTTCTGCATCTGCTTCCATCCCTCCTTCTTTCCTTCCCCATGCACGCCGAGCGCATGCTCTTTCCCTGATCTAGGGGGTACCTATCTATGTCATGCCATGCCGTCGTTCCATCCGGTCTCAAACGATTGGCTGTCACTGTGTCATTGATCCAACCTGAATGTTTCCTTCCCTGTATTACTAACCCAACTACTTTGCACTTCTTCACCCGCCATCGCCTGGCACCCACGAGTCGCATCTCGCTCGATGCCATGCCCTTAGTCGTGCTCTTATTGTACGAAGGTTATCTTCGACCATGGCCCATCTCCCCTCCTCACGCAACGTCCGACTCCCACATGTCCTAAGCTTTGGGATCCTCGCATCACCGCTCTCCTACCTAGTATCGTCAGAATATGGATGACAAAGGCACACTACACTCGTGCCATTTCTCTATAGAAGGGCCCCCACGGGCTCCGTGTCCTCCACACGTTTCTAGCACTAGACTTTCACCTCGCACGCATCACATCACATCACACTTCTGCTCCGTCTTCAAATCTTCCATCCTTGTCTCCCAGAGATAGGTACCTAGCCAAGGACAAGAAGCACCTAAGCAATGTAACACATGCGGGTGCCGTGCCATTAAGGCATCCGCCCTGCAGGTTGCACTTTCCCCTGCATTGCAGCCTGTCCGTGTCAACCCAGGGGCAGGGCATGTATGCACCTTGGAGAAAGGTCGCGTTTGATGTCCGATGCCGCGCAAGCCATGACGGATCTTCCCATCATCAGTCCTTCGGCAGCCGCTCTTCATTCATTTCCCCCGTCCAATAACTGCGGGTAACGAGTATCGCTTCGACCAGAACCGTAGTTGCCACCCCTTTCTTCTTCCCGCCTCACCCTTCGACTTCTCTCTTGTTGCTCAAGAACGTCTGCCAACCAACACAATATGATTCTGAGACCCACGAGATTAGCCTGCAGTGAGTGTGCTTAGGCGACACAGTTCACAGGCCTATCTACATTTTGTACTCTCTTATGCACCTTGGGAGACGCATCTGCTGACCGTGAGTCTGAGCTGAGACGGTGGTCATGATCATCCATCAACCGCTGAGTGAGCTCCGATCCCAACCGTCGTAGCGTCGCAATCGTTTCTAAACTCCTGGCCCAATGATAGCCAACCATTCCGCCGCCTTACACTGAACACCCAAGATGGACAACCATGTTAACCAATTTCGAGCGAGCCTACATTATATAACGATGTGGGGAAAAGGCCCTCGATCGTTCATTCGCCAATCATGTCAAACAACAGCACTTCTTAGCCACCGTTTTGTTCTCCAAGGA